GGGGTCCAGGTAAGCCCTAAACCCTCAAGACCTTTGAGGGTTTAGGGTTCAGGGTTTAGGGTTTAAGGGACCTTGAAGCCTGCAATCCCCCTGTAGTACTCTTTTTTCCCTTTTTGCTATATTTCGGAATCGCCTTATTAAAGCTGAGCATTAGGAAAAGAGTACCTTTATCATTAAGGGGTTACTGGGGAATCCAGCATTAATACCTTAGGTTAGGCCCCCACACTAATAGTGGTAGACTAGGAATATATAGAAGGCTTCATATAATTCCCATGGTCTCTTGTGCTCACTATTAGTGGGTGGGGGCCCAACCTACTTAATACCCGGTTCAGGAGAAGCCCACCATCAGACTTGTTGTGGACACCGCAGCAGATGATGGGACCCACTTCTCTCCAGAGGTAGGGGTCGTAAACGCCTGAAGAGATTAGGGTTTAGGTTGTACCTGGTCCAAAACCCCTTAAAACTGTCAAAAAGACCATAATTCTACATACTTGTAGTTTTAGGTTTAAGGGTTTAGAGTTTGGGGTTTAACGTTTGAGTTTTGTAGCTTGACGTTTGCAGGGCCTTACCGCACGCTTTAGGGTTAGGTGTTTGGGTCCCCACCTGTGATTGCTAGAAGTGGGCGATGCCCCTTGGGGTTACCCCCATTTCTGGAGACATCTACATATCTTCAGAGCCCAAAACAGCGTAGAATCCGGAATAATTCATGCTTTGGAGACACCTATATACCCCCAGACCCCCGAAACTGGCGAAGAATTCCGAATGAATTAACAATAAATTCGAGTATTGCCTTCCAAGCCTCATGGAACTACAGTATATGAACAACGCCGAAGCTTTATTGAATTGAACAGCCCCCTGATGGCAATCCCTATCAACCCCAAGGGCAGTCCAAAATATCTCTGAGCCCTACATGGGGGTTTCCCAAAATTAGGGGTACCTTTTGGGGGTCCCTATAATAAGGACTATAGCATTTTGGGGTCTATATTGGGGTAACCTAATTTGGGAAACTACCACATCCTAAATCCCTAAACCCGCGGGATCTGCAGGTCTTGGGTCCAAGCATGGACCTCAGCACCATCCATCCTCAGCTTCATGGCCACGACTATCAGTACCTTGCAGGGGCTTATGTCATACGGGGCTGTTGGTTACCCAACCCTAAAGCCTACACCCCGAACCTTAAGCCCTAAACCTTAGGACCCTACTACGAGTGCTACTGGGTCTTTAATTTGAGCTATAGTCGAAATTCCTTAAAGGCAGTTACATAGGGGATAATATAGGGCATTATTGTAGGGGTCATTAAGGGTCTACTAGGAGTTAAGACTATAGCCCATTTGAGTAGTACTTTACTTGGGGATTCTATGGTACCCAATATAGAGTAAGATTCTATCCTCCTTTTGGGGTATAATATTTTATACAAGGAATATAACCTTACTGGGTTCAACCACCAAAAAAACACTACTCATTTGGTGCTGGGGTAATCAAAATCCCCAAAAACCCTAAACCCCAAATCCTAAACTCTAAACCCTGAACCTTAAACCCTAAACCCTAAGCCCTAAATCCTAAACCCTAAACCCTAAACCCTAAACCCTAACCCAGTCGGAATTGAAGCCTGTGATCCCTTGTGGGTTGTGGGTTCCGGCTTCAGGGTTCTATATTACCCTAAGGGTCGTTCCTTTAAAGGGGTTTTGGGGAGATATATAGGGATATATGGGGACTATATAATGGTATATAAGGCCCAAATAACAGGGTTTTAGGGCCCACATACCATTCATAATAGAGTATTTGGGCCCTAAAACCCTATTATTTGGGTCCTTGGATCTTTAGGGCTACAGGCGTTCTCTAAAGTGGTAACTACACGAAACTATGGGATTGCACCCCCCCAATCCCTATCAGAGTTTTCCTTACTGAATGCTTTTTTGCACTCACCCACATTCTCTTCAGCACCTGCAAGGTATATGTGGGGTCTCAGCTGGAGTGGAAAGCACTTGTGGTGACTCCGCTGTTCTTGGGTAAAGCTGTTAATCGTCCTTCGTTTTTTTGGGCTGCAGATCCGGTAAGTGGGTCCCGAAAGACTAAGTGCTTTGCTGCCTATCAGGGGAGTATAGGTGGGACAACATCGTCAAGTTTGATGTGAAGTCAAAGCAGATTGTTGCAACATGGCACATGGAAGATCACTACCCTGGCGAGCCCTGGTGGCATTTTGGGATAGTTTTTAAATCCTAAAAGTTTATTGTCCATGCAGCTTAGCATGGTTTACAGTAACGTAGGATACCTGCTGCCATTTGGTAGTTTCCCCAAATAGGGGGACCCCAAAATAGACCCCAACATTCTATAGTCCTTACTATTGGGACCCCAAAATGGTACCCCCAATTTTGGGGAACCCCCATTTCAACGTTTACTTAGTCCCTGAAGCTTGGGATGGTTGTCACTTATCTTGATTCTTGTATGAAGGTACAGGGTTTAGGGTTTAGGATTTAGGGTTTAGGGTTTAGGATTTAGGGTTTAGGATTTAGGGTTTAGGGTTAACATAATGTAGACACCTAATCAAGAAGCCCGCTCCTTTTAAGGGCCTTAATATCAGGATCCCTCTTATAATCCCTATTACGGGAAGAGGATTTATCAACCACGGGTTTACATCTAAACTCCTTAAACGGGGCTATATAGGGGATTATACAGGGGACTACCATAGGGGTTATTAAGGGGGATACTAGGAGTTTAGACTATGGCTCACATTCTTCGTAGTAGTTCAAGGAATCCTCAAAGTACCACCCAGGAGCTGATCGCCGTCCCAAAGCCTGGAGCCGAATATGAAGACGATGTCGTGATCCTTGTCACCATGCTTGGAGGAGAGCTTAGGGGTACTTGGAATAACTATTTTTACTTTTTGCTTCTTAAAGTCCCAAGGAATAGCAACATGTAATTTTTACTAGGGTTCCAAATTCACTATAAAGAACACTGAGAGTTACAACTTTACTCACGAACACTATAGTAGAACCAAGGCGTGTCAACATTACATTACTCTGTTTTCAGCACACTAGGTTATGTTAGACTGCTTGACATTGCATTACCTGATGGTACACTACACATTACATTGAATCACAAGGACGGTACACTACACTGTATTATACTGCAGAAAGTTGCTTTGCATCGCGCTGCTGCGCTCATTATCACCGTGAATTATCACCGGTCATCGTCATCAATCCTCTCTCCCGCGGCGCCCCCAACCACCACCCAAGTTTGGCATGGTCATTCCAAGGGGGGGTAGGGTTTAGGGTTTAGGGTTGTTGTTCTCTGTTTTTCATCCTCTTATCACTATCACTACATTTCGAAGTTCAAAAGGGCTTAGGGTTTAGGGACACTTGTTGGGATTTTGGAGGGTTCCCTTTAAGAACCCCTATAGTAGTGCCATATAGAATCCCCTATAGAACCCCTAGGCACACTTGTTGGGATTTTGGAGGATAGGGTTTAGGGACACACCCTAACCCTAAACCCTAACCTAGGGACACTTGTTGGGATTTTGGAGGAGACTACGGTACCTCTTACCTGATGGCCATGGACGGTCGCGACCTCTCCCCCATTGCGGAGGCGTCATTCCTCTGAAGCCGAAGACCTCAGGGTTTAGGGTTTAGGGTTTAGGATTCAGGGTTTAGGGTTTAGGGTTTCAATCCCTAAAGCCTGAACCGCAAGACGCTAAAACCGAAATTCTATGTAAACAAACAAAACCTCTTTACCCCCTGAATCCTCTTACCCCCCCCAATACCGCTTGCACCCCAAAACCCCTGGACACCTTGTCACTTGAACCCTTGCCACCCTAAACCCCCTAAATGATGCAGGCGCGTGCGCCCTTCCCTCTGCCTTTTGGATCTCACGGATGCTGGCAGGGGGCTGACAGGAGCCGGGGTTGCTTCCTGGATCTTCGTTGGGAATCCTTTATGTGGGGCTTTCCCTAAATTATGGGTACCTTTTTGGGGCTCCCCATAATAAGGATTATAGTATAATGGGGTCTATATTGGGGTCCCTTTATTTTGAGAAACTACCATGTACTACTGTATAGTAAGTTGGGTTTATATAGGGATAATGGAAAAGGAAATGGAAGCTACTATTTAGGGTTTAGGTTTTAGTAAGTGTTTGGGGGTTTAGGATTTGGTTTAGTATTTAGGGTTTGGGGCTTGGGGTTCCGGACCTGGCGATGTTGGGTTAGGGTCTTCGTGCTTGGTGCTTGGGCCTTCTAGGAGCATCTGGTACCCTGTCAGCTGATGGCGAGCGCATCTCCACTTAAGAAACAATATTCCCGAAATAAGAATATGAAGAACACCAAACTATAGGGGTTTGATCGTAACAGCTAGATTGCTCCCATGTAAATGCAGTACGTGTCTTTGCAGAAATACAGCCCTAAGGCCCCGATCATCTACCGTTTACACGTGCAGTATAATCAGTACTATATTCCCTGAATCTACCTCCCAAACCCATCCGAAATACAACAGCGCGGAGCCAGGTGTCGGTGAGACCACAGCGGACCCTTTCGGAAAGCCAGGGCAGTTCAAGAAGCGGAAACCCGTTCAAGTTGCCGGGTAGCACTTTTGAGTCTGGGGCTTCGTTTATGTACTCATAGTATACAGGGATCAGGGTTTTGGGTAGTTTGGGGGGACGGTTTTTGGATCCAGGTAGTACTTTGGTACATTTTTGATTTGTTTGGTTGATAAGCCTATTCAAGCATTTTTGGGGGGACCTTGAAAGTACCGCGCAGGTAATGGTGTGATCAGCAGGAACTTTTGTTCGCCTGTTGGGGCAGACAGTTTTGGTTTATTGCGAAATGTTCCATGAGCCCTCGGCTATATGTACCTTGTTGTGACAGCGAGATTGAAGGTTATAATCGCCATATTAGAACCCTACATTACATAACCTTTCGAAGAAGCTACATCCTCCAGGAGAAAAAGGAATGTAGTCGGGGGCTTACATGCCGGCATGCTTGGTGCCTTGTGCTTTCGCCCGCCGTTTCATTTGAACCGTAGTCCCACACTGCGGAGAAAAAGTGACACCACTGTCATGCCTTGCTGGTGGTTGAACGGATTCGTGGGAGAGGTTATCCTAGGTCATTGTCGGAAAATGGCTTTCATGTGACTCATGTGATCTATTGGAAAGCCCGAAGAGGAAAATGCAGCTCCAAATTAATGTGGAGCCAGTGCGCGAGACGTTCTAAGGGTATCATTGCACTGACTCCTAGAGGAGTTCATGCCCCTCTTCCCTACCAATTAACACCCTAAACCCTAAACCCTCACCTCTAGCCAACAGGAAGTACATAGACCCCAAAAGTATGCAAAAAATAATGGCCTTTATGGCTATGATTAGGGGTTTTGGGCTATTATTTTACATACTTTTTGGGTTTAGGTAGCTCTTGTGGCGACTTGAGCGTAGGAGGGAAGTTTGATACCCAGGCTTGCTGGCAGTTCACGTTTGGAAGCGCTCATGGTGTGGTAGTGACAGAAGGAAGCAGCTAAACAATCTGTTGGTGCTTCTTGGGGTGTGGATGTAGCCAATGTTCAGTCGTACAAAGTATTCCTTACGACGGCCATTTAGGGAAAGGATGGTAGTTGTAGGGTTTAAGGTGGGAATGTAAGAGGTACGACGTATTGTTGCTGCATGGGGAGTAGGTGTGTTTGTGTGCATGAGGAAAGACTGATGATTTGCCGTTGTCTTTGCAGATGCGGTTGATGACGCATTAGTGGTTTCGTGGTATCTTGGCTTCGGACGTGCTACATGTAAGATGTGGGACTTTCTCGAAATCATACTCAAATACAGCCTGAGGGAGACCCCAACAATCTTGACATGAGCCAGAATTAATCTAAACCCCTTAGAAGGAGGATTCTGCGGGGGACTACTACGCGGGTCATTAACTAGGGTGGATACTAAGAGTTTCGACCCTAACCTCTTAACCCTATATTATATGAGCTTATGAAGGGGATACTAGGAGTGTAGACTATGGCTCATATGCCAACGTAAGCCAGAGGGTCCCTACAAGTCTGCGGACATGGAGGAACTAACTTTTCTGACTAAATCTGTTATAGGGTTTAGGATTTAGGTTTGGGACCCTAAGCCCTAAGCCCTAAACCCTAAACCCTAAACCGGTTTAGGGTTTAGGGTACCTGGCCGGAGGGGCACATTCCAAAATTGTTCCGGGACCCCAGGGGCTGTCCTACTAGACCCAAACGGGTTTAGGGTTTAGGGTTTCTAGACCCTACCTAAAAGTATGTAGAATAATGGCCTTCAGTCAGGCCTGTTTTAAGGGGTTTTGGGCATTTTTCTTTTCATACTTTGGGGCTTTAGGTAGGTCCTATTGAAACATGACCAGTTTGTTGGCGGAAGCGTCCCATGGAAATGGGCTATTCTCAAAATTATGGGTGGCTTTTGGTTCTGAACTACATTCCGGCACCTAAATATTAATTTTGGGAACTACCCAAATGATTCAGGGTTTTTGAGAGAGTGTATGTAGGGGGGTTCCGGCCCATTTCTGTGTACTCCACTTCTAGTCCATTCCTCGCTGCTACTTTTATTGGTGCTTAAGGGAGTCGGGAGTGGATCCTTGTAATACTTCTATCTGGGTAGGCCCCTGGGATATTTCATATTTTCC